CCCCCCCCCCCTTCCCTTTACCTTAAACAAACTTTTTCTCCCCTTTTTTACCTACCAAGCCTTCTTTCCTTGGTTCCCATTATTCGCCTCATTAATTTAATAAAACTAAAAAACACTATTTATTTATTTTCAATTTTATATTTTTAATTTGATTATAAAATTTTCATTTATTTCAATTTAAATAAAATTATTTTATATTATATTAAATACAAAATTGAATTAATTTTGATATATGATCCAAATAAATAAATAAAAATTATAGATACAAATATGAGGGAATATATTATGCACGAAACACTAAGTGATTGATTTCTTGTTGTTGCAAACAAAAAAAGAATCTCTACCTTGTTTTTGTACTTCCTCAATTCCCCCATCCATTTTATTCTCTTTTATATTATTATTATTATTATTATTATCATTATTTTGTTTCATATTTGAAATCAACCAAAACAAAACTAACCATTCCCATTTTTTGTTTCAACTCCCTCATTAACTAAATTAAGAATTTAAACTCATGTCTGGATTACAACCAACATGCCTGTCGGTCCAACTGGACCGATTATTTCTTTATTTTATAGCTTCAACATATATATTAAATTTTATTACAAATTATTAACGCTAATCACATGTGACAGCAATCATTCATTTCTTTCAGATTTGGAGGGATTTATTAATGTGCATACAAGAACCCAAAAAATTTAATTTAAAAAAAAAACACTAATGGATCCTCGGCCCAATGGGCTTTTCAATAATGGGCCTTCTCCGGAATCGACAACACGCCTAACTCTCATTTTCTGTCCCCCTACCCCGACTGCCCATGTTGTTTCACGTGCTACGTTAAATCGCTCCCATTAACGTTGTTGTTGTTGTTGTTATTGTTCTTATTTAATTTTAGTTTAAATTATACAAAAATATCTTCCCAAAACTCAAGAGTCCCAAACCCCTGAAGACCTAAGTGAGTGATTAAGAGATAAAGCAAAAGTGTGGTTATGCTTAACACAAAAGAAAACCCCTTTTATGTAAGTGAAAATTAAAATTAATAATATTCATTATATATTCTTACAATTTTTATCACTAAAATTGACGCCAGAGTCTATTCATTATGTAATTTTAATTATTATTATTATTATTTAGAATAAAAAGAAATAGGATTTGTTGGATTATTGCAAAAAATAGAAAAAGTTAAAAGAGTGTGGAGAATTAGGTATTGGGAGCGTACAAGGGAAAGATGAGAGTTAGATGGGAATGGGGAAATTCGGGAAATTCAGGAAATTCAGGAAATTGGGGGAAATTGGGAAAAATTGGGGCGCAATTTCAAACCCTAAATCCAAATCCTCCAAATCAAACAAAAAGCCAAAACACTAGACGACAGAAACTACAGTGAAAATCAACGGCTAATCCTTTTCATTATCGTAACCTTCTAAATCAAGCTCCGATCGTGTCTTAATTGCCTAATTTTCGAGATAAAATTATCTTTACAGATGTGCAGCATGTAACATATCTTTTAACATTTAATTCATGTGTTTGGTCTCGTCTGTCCATTTGAGAGCGAAAAGTAGTTCTAAAATTTAATGAGTACCCGGTTTCTAAAGACTACTTTATAAATACCAATATGAAATTGTCACATTTTACGAATGTACCAAAAAAAAAATATGAATGTGAGTAGAAAATAATTTAAATGTAATTGATATGGACTATTTTTTAAAATTAAAAATTTGGAAGACAAAATGTGAATTTGGGGGCTAAAGGGGTGGGGTTAGATTTTGAGTAGCAGCTTTACATTTGATAGCCAAAAGTTGTAGCATACCCCCTTCATATAATAAATAAATTATATAATATAGTCGGATTCTTTAAAATGTTACGTTTAAATTTCGAACAATTAACCTCAGGAATGTTACAAACTTTATCAAGTTGACTTTCTTTACCATATATATATATATAAAAGAAAAATAAAAAGATTTTGGGGACTAAATGTTGTCCCAAAAGTCCTTTGGGGATGGGAGACATCACTAACACATTAATTGGCTCTAGTAATCAATGTTATAATTACAACAATATTATTCCACTATATCCAAATATATGTTTCTCGCCCCCACTTCCGGTCCTAAAATCACTTTTTTTTTCTTCTAAAAAATAACCTTAGGTGTTCTATTTTTTTAAAAAAAATTAAAAAATATAATATTATTGTCCGAGAGATAATGTATGAAATATGACACATGGTATACGTCCATCTATTGATAGTAAAAAATTTTTTGAATTATTTTATAAAGTTTAAAGGTGTTAATGTTATTTCTAAAATTTCATGGATATTTTTTAAATGCAGTTACCATAACATAAGGTATTTTTAAATTTTTTTTTAAAATCAATTTCAAGGTTTAAGAGTAATTTTGAGTATTATATATGTATATACAGTAGTTTACTACTATTATTGAAAATGTGAAAGTTTTAGTTATTATTTTAGATAAAAATCAATTTAGGACAGTTAGACGAATTCTTTGAAATATAATTATAAAAAAATAATTTAGGATGAAAATCAAAATATGAGAATAAAAAAAAGTATTTAAAAAAATATTGATTAAAGATATCAACGTTAAAGGTCATGGTAGAGACTAAAAAAATGGCAATGCCGAATTAAAGGCTATTAAATCGTAAACAATTGACATGCATGAACAAGCGGCATGTGTAGCCGAACAAGTTTAAATTGCGCACAAGTTATGTTCCGTTGGCAAGGGCGAATGATGCCTAAGGTCCAACTAGACTACAAAGCAGAAGGAGAAAGGTGAATAAGGCTTGTGATGATATGGAGGCAGGATTGAAAATATAGAATTGTGAGAGTTAGCAGGGGGTGCATAGCCCATCGAAAAAACCCTAGAATTGACCTAAAAATTGGTAATAGGATTGGAAGTGCAGCGGAAAGAGAAAGTGTATGGCATCTTTGAAGGGTCCCCACAAAATGAGCGATGGAATGCGACTTGTTACTAACCCCTCCACTAATAAAACCTTTATTTTTATTTTTAAATTAAATTTAATTTTGTGGTGAATTTGAGTAATAATAATTTGGGTTTTAATTAGAGATGGTATTAGGGTGGTTGTAGGGAAGGGAGAGTGGTGGCCTCATCCATTATTATTTTTCAATTACTAAAACAATTAAATTCTTAATTAATTCTAATTGGGAAATCCTTAAGGAGCAGTTACCATTTAATTAATTTAATTCATTTTTATATTTTATAATAAAACCAAACCAATTTGTAATAAGAACCCAATAAGAGGGCCATTAAGCCCAAATCCCAACCAAACCTTCCATCCCTAATCCTCTCTCTCTCCTCTCTCTCTCTCTCTCTCCCCCTCTCTCTCCGCCTTTATTCCCTCTCCCTATTACGGAGAGAGATGGTCTGACAGACTGAACCCAAACGCCGTTACAGACCCCAGAGAACCCCGTTTACGCCTTCCCTAAACCATCCTCCAATAACTCACGTGCTCTTCTTCTTGACAATATTCTTAATTTATTTTTTTTTTTATAAAATTTATTTCTATTTTTATATGGCTTTGCAGCAGCTTAGCCTCGGTCCAGCTCCCCTTGACGCCGTCACTAATGGTGTTGACGTTCGGCCGATGTCAATTGACGGCGGAGACGACGCCACCAAAACACCCAGGCTTCCCCGGTGGACTCGCCAGGAGATTCTTGTTCTTATTCAGGGTAAGAAGGTTGCCGAGACAAGGGTTCGCGGCGGCCGGGCTGCTAGTCTTGCCTTTGGCTCTGCCCAGGTTGAACCCAAGTGGGCCTCTGTCTCCTCCTACTGTAAGAGGCATGGGGTCAATCGGGGTCCGGTCCAGTGCCGCAAGAGATGGAGCAATTTGGCTGGTGACTTCAAGAAGATCAAGGAGTGGGAGTCCCAAATTAGGGAAGATACTGAATCCTTTTGGGTCATGAGGAACGATTTGAGACGCGAGAGGAAATTGCCTGGGTTTTTCGACAAGGAGGTTTATGATATATTGGATTCCGGCCCAGCTCCTTCGCCATCGCCGGCTCTGGCTCTCGCCCTTGCTCCTGCTCCGCCCCCCGCTCTCAATTCCGATGAGGTCAAGCCCGATGCCGAGCCGGAGCACGTGTTCGACAGTTCTAAAATAGCGACAGCGGACGACGGTTTGTTTTCCGATTTCGAGCAGGACGAAACCAGCCGGAGCCCCATGAAGGAAGTCGCCGGGAAGGAGGTTCCAGCACCGACGGCCGACGGGGCAATTCCTGCTCCGACACCTTTATCAGGTAATTGGGGAAGATGGGTCAATTCAAATCTGTTTCGATTTGTTTAATTCTCATTCTACGACCATGCATGGTCTCCAAAAGATCGGATTTCAGAAAATTAAATGATAAATGTTTCTGGTTATTTGAGATTCTTGCAGCTTTATGTTCCAATTATTCTTTTCTCCTCCACCCCTTACTAAAAAACCA